ACTGGAGTAGGACAGAGCTGGGTTACTGCCCAAATCTGAGCAACTCATTAATAAGGCCCTCTTCAAGTGCCTCCCTAAACCCTTAATGAAGAATTAATCTCACTTCCATCTATGTTTCTACATAAATTTATGATCTATACTGACTCCACTTCTTCTTAACTGTGTAATCTTTTTTTTTTTTTTTTTTGTTTATTTATTTATTTATTTTTTTAAATTGATTATGCTGTTACAGTTGTTCTATTCCCCCCTTCATTCCCCTCCACCCTGCCCCCCATCCCCACCATTACCCCCCTTTAGTTTATGTCCATGTGTCTCAAGTCCTTTAGGTTCTATATTTCCCATGCTATTCTTGCCCCCCCATCTCTTTTCTATCTACTGTCTATGCTACTTATTTTCTGTACCTTCTCCCCCCATCTCCTCCTCCCACTCCCCTGTTGCTAACCCTCCTTGAGATCTTCATTTCTGTTTCCACTCCTGATCTAGCTGTTCTTTTAGTTTGCTTTTGTTTTAGGTGTGGTTGTTAATAAGTGTGAGTTTGTTGTCCTTTCACTGTTCATGTTTTTTTAACTTCTTTTTCTTAGATAAGTCCCTTTAACATTTCATATAATAAGGGCTTGGTGATGATGAACTCCTTGAATTTGATCTTATCTGAGAAGCACCTTATCTGTCCTTCCATTCTAAATGAAAGTTTTGCTGGATAGAGCAATCTTGGTTGTAGGTCTTTAGATTTCATGACTTGGAATACCTCTTTCCAGCCCCTTCTTGCCTGTAAGGTCTCTTTTGAGAAATCTGCTGACAGTCTGATGGGGACTCCTTTGTAGGTGACTGTCCCCTTAGCTCTTGCTGCTTCTAGGATTCTCTCCTTCATTTTAATTTTGGCTAATGTAATTATGATGTGCCTTGGTGTGTTTCTTCTTGAGTCCAACTTTTTTGGTACTCTCTGAGCTTCTTGGATTTCTTGGAAGTCTATTTCCTTTGCCAGATTGGGGAAATTTTCTTTTATTATTTGTTCAAATAAGTTTTCCACTGGTGGTTGTGTCTTTCCCCCTTCTGGTACCCCTATAATTCGGATATTGGAGCGTTTAAAGATATCCTGAAGGTTCCTAAGTCTCTCCTCATTTCTTTGAATTCTTGCTCCTTGACTCTTTTCTGTTTGGCCATTATTTGCTTTCTTCTGGTCCACTCCATTGATTTGAGTCCCAGTTTCCTTTTCAACGCTATGGGTTTCCTGTGGAATTCCATTCATTTCCATTAGTTTAGCCTTCATATGTTTCTCTAATTTGTGGCTATAATCAACCAGATCTGTGAGGATCCTGATCACCAGTGTTTTAAACTGTGCGTCTGAGAGTTTTGCTATTTCTTCGTCGCTTAGATTTATCTCTGGGGCTTTGAGGTCTTCCTGCAACATTTTTGGTCTGTTCTGGCCCTTTAAATGTGAGAAGTGGCGCCTTGGACTCCCAGGTCGCTGGGTTGTGACGCTGTATGTGGGGGCGTGGTCAGAGCGGGGAAATGGCGGCGCCCTCTACCGCCGCTAGCCACGGGGACGCTGGGCCCCGGGCCCCGGTCCAACCGCCCACTCCCTCGCCTGTCCGCTTGCCCGCAAATAGGCAACCGTAGTCAACACGCAGCACCGCCTCTCCACTGTCTCCTCTGCAGTCGCTCACCCGGTTGGTTGCTCGGTCGCTCACTAGGTCCAGTCCTGCGTTTGGAACCCGTGCGTCTGGATTCCGCGCCCGGGTCCGACTCAGTCCTCCTGTGCAACCCCTCACGAGACGCCGGTTTCGCCCCTTACCAGTCGGGCTGAAGAATTTGTTGTTAATGGACTTCCGAAAAGTTCAATTTTCCGTGTTCTGGTTGTGTTTTCTGATGCTAATATTTAGTTGTCCCTAAACTTGGTTGTGTGAGAAGGCACGGCACATCCACCTATACCTCCATCTTGGCGGAAGTCATAAAATCTTTTAAAAAATAAAAATCTATCCTGCTGCCCCTCCCCCACACGGAGCCCAAGCCGCAGCCAACTTGAAATCTCTTAACTGTGTAATCTTGAACAAGTTACTTAACCTGTAAATTTCATTTTTCAGAGTATTGGACATGCCCTATAGCACCTACCTTGAAGGGTTATAGTGAGCATTAAATGAGACAATCACTGCAAAGTATTTCATACAAGGCCTGACTCTAAATACATCACCCATTATTACCATATATGCCCTATAGTGTGGGTGAGTGGTTGGGCTCTGAAGCCAGACTACGCTTGGGTTCAAACTGTGGCACTACCTATTCCTAACTGTGTGACCTTAAGTAAGTTACTCAACTTCTCTGTGCCTCAGTTTCCTCATCTGTTAAAAAAGTAGTAACTTAGAGATAAGAAAAGTATTTTTCTCAGAGGGTTCTAGGAGATTGAATTAAATGAGTAATACCATAAAACACTTAGAACAGTACCTGACACATGGTAAACACCTAATCAATATTTAACCAACTTGGTTTTTAAAAATCTTAATCATAAGGACTTGGCATGCAAGCTATATTTTCCCTTGACATAAAACTAACTCATTTTTTCTAAAACTTAGTCTTGTTTAACTCTAAGGGCCTGACATGCTGATCATATTTTTTCTAATACACATCAAAACATTACATAAAACCACCTTGCACACTTCTAGTGTCATGAGTCTCTCTTTTTGAGAAACACTGCAATAGGCCCACACAGTCCCATGATTTATGGTTGCCTGAGCAGCAAGTGCTATTCCTTGCCTTTCCCCTGCTTAGAATATCTTGCTCCTCCTTCCTCAGTCAGCTGTTCCTACTTGTCTTTAAGACTCAGTTTGGGCATCATGTCCTCTGACCCCAGTGGTATTCCCACAACCCCAATGGCATATCCCTATCACAACACCAATCACTTGGGGGATCACTGTTTCTATCCTCCACAGACCAGGAAATGTATCCTATCTCAGTGCGCAGTACCTGGCATAGAGTAGGCACTCAGGAAGTCTTAATTGGATTGAAGTAAAATGAGGCAGCCAAATACTTAACATAATAAAAATTTAATCAAAACTTTTTTTTGCAGTATCTACTTGGTGCCAGGCCATATGGTAGGCACTGTGGGTTCAAAAATAAACAAGACTCATTTCCTATCCTCATGGTGTGTTCAGGAGATGGACAAGAAAACAAGTGCACCTAAGTGCAGCGGGCACTGTGACTGCTGCCTATGTGGGGCGCGTGCAGTGCAGACACAAGGAAGAGAGCTCTGGGCAGCCAGGAAAGGCTTCACACACAGAAGGTGTGAAGCTTGAGCTGTTTTGAAAGCTGAGTTGGGGGTTCATTGGATGAATGAAGGTAGGGGGTGGGACATGGAAGAGAGCATTCCAAACAAATGGGGCATAGCTGGTCCAGGGAGAGTGCTGGGTATTGCCCTGGAGACAGCAGGTTGAAAACATAAAGAGATGGCCTGAGATCACCCAGGTGTGGGCTTCACCACATGCTTACTGTTCTGTGAACCACAGATGGGTGGAGGCACTTTCTGGGGCCCAAGAACCTCTGTGATGGTATAAGAACAGCATGGCCCCAAATCACAACCTCCCATTTATTATTCACCTACAGTTTGCTAATGTCTATTCCAGAACACCCTGGGGAATAGAGGAGGGAAGAAAAATATAGGCTACCTCCCCCAACACACATGAACTCATAATACATGCAATATATACAATGCACTTGTATATTAAATAGTTTACCCACATACTAGCCTAAATATCTCTACTTTAGAAACTTATCAGAGTATAACTTTAAACTCCATACTTCTGCAAACTTATACCTAGGTTGTGACAACTACTTACAGAAGACTGGCTAAAAGCTCAGCAGTACATGCATTCTTCTACAGGAAGATTTCCCTAAGTCGATCTTACAGTGGACCCCAATACAAAAAAGAAAAAAAGCTGGCTGTGGCTGGTGTAGCTCAGCGGATTGAGTGCTGGCCTGTGAACCAAAGGGTCACTGATTCAATTCCCAATCAGGGCGTGTGCCTGGGTTTCGGGCCAGGTCCTTGGTGACATGCAAGAGGCAACCACACATTGATGTTTCTCTCCCTCTCTTTCTCCCCTACCTTCCCTTCTCTCTAAGAAATAAATAAATGAAATTTGAAAAAGAAAAGAAAAAGCTGCTATTTTAAGCAAATGTAGGCAGGAGTCCTGCTGCGGGGCCACTGAGACACACGTGCGGCACTTTGGTGTCAATGGAGCACAAGAGTCAAGATGCTTTAACCTTGGGAAACAGAGCATTACTGAGCTGCATACTCCAGCCTCACTGTTTCATCCCTTCACACAATAACTTTTGTTGTGAAATGTGTTTTGGTGAGGAAGTGTCAGTTTACATTGAGAGAAAGTATAAGACACAGCCTATGATGTTCAGTGTTATAGTTACTGTAAGGTTGTTTGACATTAAGAACATTGTCATACACCACAAATAGTCTGCTCTACAGTTGCCAATGAAGAGCAGTTGTTCTCTGGAACAATGGGTTTGTTTTTTACTTAAGAACCATCTCTGAACCATGTAACTGATTATGTTTTCCTCTTTGCAATGGTTGCTAGGAAGCTCAAAGCCAATATTTTGGCCCAACTCTTGCACGTGCCCAAGAATTTACAATATACATACTTATCTCACCCCTGGTTCCTCTTATTTTCCTCATACCTTTGCTTTTCCTTTGCTCCAATTTTCTCACTTATGTAGGTTTTTAAAAAATGTATTATGATGATTTTTATAAAACATTTCATGTCTTTTATAGAAGGAGCTGATTTTTAAAAGTTCATAATTTGGTTTTACTTATATATCCAATGTAACAAATATACACATATAACAAGTAGTGAATTACATGGCACAAAGCTCTATGTACATCACACAAATATAAACCAATACTCACAGAGCACATATGTACATACTTCACAATCATAACCCCCAATGTCAGAATCCCATGCACACATGCACACACATGAACACACATGTTATGTACATACCAAGCTGCTCTGCGAGGAGCCGGCCCTTCTCAGTGGGAACAACCCTTTCTTCCTCCATGTCACACTTGTTTCCCACCAGGATAACCTGTGCATTGTCCCAGGAGTAGGTCTTGATCTGAGTGGCCCTAAAGAGTGACAGAGACAGGACCATGCTAATGATACCCCCTAGACTAAAGAGGACTCTGTGGAGCTTGAAGAAGTAAATTCTCTTCCATGGGAATACCAACATCCAAGTTACTGTCAATTAATTCAGCTAAGGACAGAGACAGATACCTGCCCCTACTGGCTGTCACAGAGGCTGACCCCTGAGCCCTGGTTGCAAACCTCACCTACCTCTTTGGAACCCTTTTCTAATGCATCTGCCTATCCCTCTTCTCACCGGGTAGAGAGCTCTTTCTAAAACATCTATCTGACCATATTTTTCTTAAAAGATTTCTTTCCCCCACTACTCGTGCAATAAAGTCTAGTTCCCTCAGTTAGATGTTAAAGACCTTTCACTTCCTGTCTCTCCAGCCTCATCGACTTTCCTCCCCCTTTACAAACCTTCTCACCCATTCCCCAAATGCTCTTCTGTGGCTTGTGCCTTTGCTATACAGTGAATCCTTTTCCCACACTAACTTGTCCTCCAAGGCCCAAGACTTATCCCACAGTTCCCTGCACAGAGACTTCCGCAGGCCCAGCTAGCCTCTCCCTCCCCTCCTATGTGAATCATACCCCTTAGATCATGATTACTTGTAGAAACCAAAATGTCAGCAGTGCTTTCTTTCACATACAATGATTACAAAACTTAAAAAAAAAAATAGTTTCCTGCCCTGGCTGGTGTGGCTCAGTGCATTGAGTGCTAGCCTGTGAACCAAAGGGTCTCTGGTTCAATTCCCAGTCAGGGTACATGCCTGGGTTGCTGGCCAGGTCCCCTGTTGGGGGTGTGTAAGAGGCAACCAATTGCTGTAGCTCTCACACATCGATGTTTCTCTCCCTCTCTTCCTCTCTCTAAAAATAAATAAATAAATGAGTAAAAGAAAATTAAAAAAATAGTTTCTTATACTTTTCAAATCTTGAAAGTATGTTTTCTATAATTAGAAACAAAAATTTAAAAGATGGTGTAAAGTAGGACCCTTATATTGTGGAAACTTCTTTGTGTGGGATGGGCTTGACTCTGTCCCTGACCACCCCATCACGTAGAATGGTTACTTCCCCTTTTGTCTCCCTACATGTTTACTGGGCATTTGGCTGAATTTATCTGTCCTTTCTTTGAGGGCAGGGACATGTTTATTCAGCTGTGAGGTGCCAGCACCCAGCAAAGAGAGCAGAGCAGAGAAGTTGACAGTGAACATCTGATGAGTGAATAAGCCAATGAGTTAATGCTGAAGTAGATCTAAAATTATGACCCTATCCTGACATTGACCCTTAGTCTAACTCAATCTTAACTACAGCCAGGACTTACTACTGGCTCTGCTCCTGAAACTAATCCAACCACCAACTTTCTTTAATGGTGAGAAGTGATTCCATGAAATGATGGAATTCAGTCAACTACCTTTTGTTGTGAGCCAACAAAGAGCTACATTCAGTGCTAGGCACTGAGGCTTCAATGGCAGGTAGAGGCTAGTCTGTGACTAAGTTTCTCACAGGCAAATTTCAAAGGCCAAGGCTTAGGAGACATACATACTTAGACTTCAGCCTCGAGGAAGTAACTGGAGCCAACTCATGCAACTCTTCCTGTCATTTTCCTCCCTCTTCCCACTCCATCCACTTTCAGCTCCCAGATAAGCAACTTGGGTTATCTTGGAGGAATTGTCACCAGGTGTTAAAGTCACTGTGCTCCTGAGGTGGAATGAACAGGGATTGATGGAGAAAGGGAAGGAGGTCAAGGCCAACAAAGAATGAGTGGTGGATGGCACTTAAAAAGCTAATCACTCCTTGGAGGGAGATGGGAGGAGGGGGGAAAATCATAACTGAGTGAAGGGAGTAAGAAAGGGAAAAAGGAAAAGAGAAAAGAAGAGTAAAGAGAAAAGAAGGGGAAAGAAGGGAGGTAGAGGGGAATTGTTAAAGGGAAGGGGGAGAAGGAGGAAGAAGAGGATGACAGAGAGGCTGAGAAGGAAAACCATGAATGAATGACAGACATGCAGATGGCATCCTGCACTGCTATTTAGAATGTGGGGGTGCAGCAGGCAGCCTGCAAGGTCACTCTCATCTCAAGGCCCCAAGGTACAAATAGTGCTTCAGTCACACCCACTGTTCCTTGGGAAATGGGCAGCTGTTGACAAAAGGGAGCAGGAAAAAAGCTTAGCACTTCCCAGCCCTGCTGCTGTGTGTCTGGCCTGCCCAGACTCTCTGATTCTGAAGAAGAGCCACAGCACAGATGCTCCACCTTCCCCCATCCTCATCCTCTCCACTGATGGGAGCACAGGGTCCTGGCCCTTCCCTCTCACCTGTCCTTTTGCTCACACTCCTCTCTCCCTATAATTTATGCCCCAGGAAGAAAGATGGGTTGCTCAGAGGTTGTACCACTGGGAAGCTGTGCTGATTTCCACTGTGAATTGAATCTTGACTTGGTTTGGATGTACTCCTGGACCCCTAACCCAGCTCAGGGATAAACTTTGTAGGGAAGCAGTGTATGGATTCACTCACTATTATGTGGCCAGAATGATCTTTCTAAAACATTAACCTGAACCTGTTGGTTCCCTGTTCAAATGTCATCACCTGTGGGATAAAATCCAAACTTCTTACTCCATCACACAAAGTCCTTCATGACCTCTGCTCTTTCTATTCTCTTACCTACCTTCTTGCCTTTGCGCATCTCTATTTTTTCCTGTACATCCTTATCCATTCACCCCTCTGGTTAACTCCCGTTCATCTTACAATGTGCAGCGTATGTGTCTGCAACTCCAGGACACCTTCCCTGACTCTCCAAGCTGCACCACAGAGCCCTCCACTGGGTTCCCACAGCCCCAGTGACTCTCTTCATCACTGCACTTGTCACATGATATTTTCATTGCCTGCTTACTTATCTGTCTTCTCCTCTCATCCATGAATTCCTTGAGGACAGGAGCCAATCTGATTCACCCAGATATCTCTAGCCCAAGGCACACTTTAGGTGTTCTTGAATAGTTTCATGAATGAATGAATGAATGAATGAATGAATTCTCATACCAATCTTGGACAGCATTGAAGGACTCCTCATTGGTGATATCATACATCAGAATGAAGCCCATGGCCCCACGGTAATAGGCTGTGGTGATGGTCCGGTACCGCTCCTGCCCAGCTGTGTCCTGGGTGGAAGAAGGAAAGAGTCAGCCTCCTAGAAAGCTTGCTTTTGTTTCTAAAAATTCCCCACAACAATTAACTAATAGGAGCACCTATTATGTGTCCTGTATTATACTTGGTGACTAGAATAAAATGGTTGTTAAAACCTCATAGAAATGAATAAGCATATAATTAAAATCCCAGCAGAAAAATGGGCAAGAGGACTGAACAATTCAGAGAAGAAATGTAAATGGATAGAATCTAAAGGACTTGAGACACATGGTCATAAACTAAAGGGGGGTAATGGTGGGGATGGGGGGGTAGGGTGGAGGGGAATGAAGGGGGGAGTAGAACAACTGTAACAGCATAATCAATTAAAAAATAAATAAATTTAAAAAAAAGAAATGTAAATGGATATTTATTATATAAAAAGGTTTTAACCGTATTTTAAATTATAATTCCTACTATAGATTAGGATATAATGAGATGTGCAACTTGGTTCAGTCTTTCTGGAAATCAATATGGAAGTCTCAAGAGCATCAAAATTATCTGTACTCTTTGACCTAGAATTTTTTCTCCTAAAATGTTTTCCTACAAAATTAGCAAATCAGACAAATACCTAATCACAAAAATGTTTGTTATCACTTTATTTAGACAGTCAAAAAGTATCATCAACTTATATATTCAACAATAGGAACATGGTTAAAATGTAAAAATTTTTATGTTTATTTTTGGAAGAATATTTAATGACATGGGATAATGCTTGTATTTGTGATATCAGCTTTTTAAGTGTGTGTGCAGAGATGAAATCTGGAAAGAAACACATCAAAAGTTAAGTTATCTCTGTATGAGAGACAAGAATTATCAGGACTTTCATTTTCTCTTTATATTTTTATTTTCACTACAATAAGTATGTATTACTTTTACATAAGAAGAAATAAACATTTTTACCAAAAAAATATTTCCTAAGACAACTCTTTATTTCAAGCAGCTCACAGTGGAGTTGGAAAAACAAACAAGTAAGCAAGCCAGCCAAACCAAGCCCAACAGAGAAGTGTCTCCGGATCACAATGGGATGCTTCCCAAAGGTCCCCACAGTCCTCAGGTGAGGGACCAGCCAATCTCCCTTGTGTCATCACAGTTTTAGACTGTGTAATACCTGAGCATGTATAAGACACTTACAATAACATATATATTAGTTCTTTTTAAAAACATATTTTATTTATTTATTTTTAGAGAGAAGGGAAGGGAAGGAGAAAGAGTGGGAGAGAAACATCAGTGTGTGGTTGCCTCCCATGTGTCCCCACTGGGGACCTGGCCTGCAACCCAGGCATGTGCCCTGCTGACTGGGAATCAAACCGGTGACCCTTTACTTCACAGGCCCGCACTCAATCCACTGAGCTACACCAGCCAGGGCACATATATATTAGTTCTTTCAAATTTTATCAAATCCCTGTGAGGTTGGTGTTATTAGTATTTGCATATTGTAACTGAGAATAGAAAAAAAAAAACAAAACCAGAGAGGCTAAGTGACTCTCCTAAGGTCTCAAAGCTAGTGACAAAAGCTATGCCTTAAATCCAGGTTTTCTGATTCCAAGTCCAATGCACATACCATTATACCCCAATCAATAAAAAATTTATTTACAAGCACTCATTGGACACTATCTATAATGATAATGGGAATAATAATAATTATAGCATGACATTATTAGTACCTATGCTGTACCTATTATCCACAGACTTTAAAAAACCCTGAAGGGTATATATTACTCTCTTTTACTGATGAGAAAAACTGAGGTTCAAAGAGATTGCCCACTAAATGTCAAAATTGTGATTCAAAACAAGTCGGTCTGACTCCCACACCCATTACACTATATTGCCTTGGCCATGAACCATCATTTGGGTGATACAAAAATGGAACCATCTCTGCCCTCAGGAAGCCTCAGTAAAAGTGTAGAGGTGGCTAAGACATGCCACATCAAACTGATAATTAGCAATAGGTACCAGTATGTCATCAGTACCAGATAAGTTGTAAAAAGAAAATGTGCCACACAAGTCAGGTAAGGTAGGTAGTTATGGAAGGTGTCAACTCAGAGATAGTGTATCAATTAGGATAGACTGAGTTTCAGTAACAAGCAAGCACAACTCTCAACAGCTTAAACAACACGGTGTTATTTTTCATTGTTGTTACATATCCACTAGGGGCTAAGGGTTGACTGGGTGCTCTGGTTTTTGTCCTTATTCTAGGATAAAGACTGACAAAGCAGCTACCAGAGGAAAAGAAAGTACATGACTTTCCCTGGCTGGTATAGCTCAGTGGATTGAGCATGGGCCTGGGACCAAGGGGTTGCAGGTTCCATTCCCAGTCAGAGCACATGCCTGGGTTGCAGGCTGGGTCCCCAGTTGGGGGCATGTGAGGGGCAACCACACATTGATGTTTCCATCTTTTTCTCCTTTCCTTCCCCTCTCTCTAAAAAATAAATAAATAACATCTTTAAGAAAAAGAATGACTCATGTGTTGGTGTTAAACTTCCACTTTTCTCATTTCACTGGCTGAAGCAAGTCACATGACCACACCCAAGAAAGTGCAATCCATGGTATGCCCATGAGGAGACAGCATAATGACTCCCACAGGCGAGTCTCTATGGAGCCCAGAAGCATTGCCTAAAGATGTGCTTATTTGGCAGTAGAAGGAGGAAAACAGAGACTTTTCTAAAGAATTTCCAAGCAGAGAAGTGAAGGAAAGGTATTTTGTCAGAAGAAAGTGTTGTCAGTAAGCACTTTAGAAGAACTCAAGGAATGATGGGAAATGGGTAGATGATGAATCTACAGAGAACTTTGAATGCTATGGCATGGGATTAACATAATTAAATCTAGATTTCAGAAAGATCACTCTGTGATGTGGAGAGTGGGCTGGAGGGAGAAGACATGGGAAGCAGAACTGCTGGTTAGAAGATCTTTGCAGTGGTTCACATGAGACCCGATAGGGATTTGAACAAGAGTGGTGGCCATGGGAATGGAATAAAACCAGATTCAAAAGGTATCTAAGAGGTGAATTATAGACATAGAGGCAGATTAGATGTGAGGAGATGAGAAACCAAATGTAACAGTTATGTTTCTGGCAGGGCTCAGCTTCAGCACATCCTCAGTCATTCAGCTGTGGCCCAGACTTGCATGGGATTACCCAGCCAAACAAAATCTGCATATAACACACCCACTATCCTTGGAGAGCCTGTGAATCACCATCTCCTGTCCATTGAATATGGTCTTTGGGTATCTTGCCCTTCACCTCAAAAAGCTTCTCAGAGTACTTTGACCATAAACAATACCTCTCTCTAAGAGGCCTAGCAAACAGAGTCTTCTCTAGCTAGTGAATAAGTGAGTAGATGAATGAATTAATGAATGAATGATGAGATGGATAAGTGAGTTAGTGAACATCTAACACTGGGAATCTTAGGCACTACTGAGAGAAACATTCACTGTCTGCCGTATCTACACAAAAGCTCTGTGTGAACCTATGAAACAGGGCAACGATATTTGATCCACCCCTCCCATGCCCTTGCCTCTGCTTCATGACCCCCTCAGAGCCAACACCACAGACAAGACTTCTCCCACAGATCTGCAGGGTCAGATTCTAAATCTTGTCTTCTAGGGTTTAGAAGTAAGCCACACTTCCATTCAGTCTGGTGATCCAGAGGCCCAGGTAGGATTTCTGACAAAATGCACTGCCTCCAGGTCTCAGGACTTCTCACTTCACCTGCATTATTCCGTTTCTCTGTGAGAGTTTCTAGTCCCTCATCTCTGCCAGAAGCCTGGCTCTGTGCCCCAGGTTTTGACAGAAGAGTCCTGTCACCAGTTGATGTCCAATTAATTGGAAATCCTGGTATGGAATAATAAATGACCTTGGACATGGAATCAGTTTCATCTCTGTACTCCCAGTGCCTGGCACAGAGCTAGGCGCACAGTAGGGATTCAAGTACTACTTGTTAAACAAAAAGGCCATGTAGTTTTGGGGTTAAAGCATGGTTTTTGGAGTTAGGCTACTGGGTGTGAGTCCCTGTTCCGCCACTTACTAACTATATGATTACGGAAGGCAGTCTCCAAAACAGCTTCCTGTGATCAACATCTCCAGTTTTCATGCTCTTGTGTGATCCCCTCCCTGGGCAATTTACCTTTGGGGGCCTTAGTTCCTTTTTCTCTAAGAATGGAAATAATAGCAATATCTTTGTAAAGTTATTGTAGAGATTAAGAAAGTTATATCTAAAATGCCTGGGATAGTTCCTAGTACACGGTAAGTGCCCGATGGGCATCAGTTATTATTTTTGTATTTCCAGAGTCAGCCCCAGAGCAGGTTCCTAGGCTCTGCCCAGCTGGAGCAGATGCGTCTCATGTCACATGTCACTTCCATCTCATTACACCTGCCTATGGCTGCCGCCAGACAGAATCTCAACATGAAGCTTCCCTCAAAGAGTAGCAAATGGCCTGATAGAAAGGAAATGAATGAATGAAAGAGTTAGGCCAAAGCAGGCTGTGGCCTAACTCTCACTCTACCATTCAGCACCTGTATGATTTTGGACAGCTCGATTTTTTTCATCTCTCTGAGGCTTAGCTTCCTCGCACCTGAACTGGAAATAATAATGCCTACTTTGCAGGGTGTTTGTAATAAAATAATATGTTTTTTAAGTGCCTAGCTCATAATAGGAAATCAAGCATGGGAAGTTACCGCTTCCCATTATTATTTAATTTTTCCAAGCCTTCATTTCCTCATAGGTAGTGTGGTGATAGTAAGACCAACTGTGAAGTTGTTGTGTAAGGATTAGAGATAACATATAAGTAGAGCCTGGCAGAGTGCCAAGCACATAGTAGCTTCTCAATAAAGCTCATAGTAGCTGCTGCTATTACTGTTGATATTATTGTCATTGTTATTTCACCTAAAAATAAACAAGATTGGAAACAACAACAATCCAGCTGTTAAAATCCTGTACTCAATGGAAAGAAAGTAGCCCAGAGAATAGTTCCTAAACCT